ATAAAAGGTACTTAAAAACTAAAAATCTTTTTATATTCAAAATTTTACAGAAAAATTTGTTTTAGTTAAACTTCAACTTGAGAGTTTTTCTACGCAGCAAACATGCTATAACGGGCTTTTAGTGGACTTATATAGGCATTTTGAGCAGGCTGCTGTAGTTTTGCTCATCAGTTACTTAGTGGACCATTAGTGGCACCCGCCAAAACCGCCTAGCCGATAACTAACCACTATTAAAATGACGGAAATTTATCGGCTTGTCATTTATGCGGTAGTGGTGTAGTGGTAAGAGCGCTCGCTTTGTAAGCGAGAGGTTCGGAGTTCAACTCCCACCACGTCCCTGGAAGTACCGCGCTCAACTTAATTTCTCCACGATTTACAACAAGAAAAAAAAAAAAAAAATGAGTAGCCTCCTCGACTGTAGTGGCCTCCTCAGGCCTTGGGGAGGTGAGTAATTATATAAAAAAAAATTTATAGTAGCTGCTACTTATATTCCACTAAGTAACCGATGAGCTAAACTCCAATGAACCGCTATAAAATGCCTATAAATGTTCATTGTAAATCCACTAAAACAATGTTTGCAGATTACCTTTTGTTGATTACTTACGTAATAATTTTTGATAATGATAGCTAAAATGCAATGCTTAAGAATGAAATGCATTATTTTTAAAGAAAAAAAAAGCGTCTTATAACAATTGTTAAAGGACGCATCTTTTTTTACCCAATTCTATAGAAAATCTCAAAAAAAAATAATTTTAAAAAATTCTAAAAAAACCGAAAAGATAATATTTATTTACTACTAATTTAAGCGCACGTTAACAGTATTGTTATTTGTGTAAACAGTTGGATCAAAAAAAGCCTATCAAGGATGGTATTTATTTTATGTCCATTTATAAGGATAGAAAATTATATTTTATACCTGTCGCTTTATTTTATTTTAAAGTATATAATTTTATTAAAAATTTAAACATCTATAGTACTCAAATAAAATCAAATAAAAATATTTAACAGTATTTTTATTAGAACCTTTTGTTTTTATTCCTTTATATTTTTTCTTGGTCCTTTTAATTTTATATTATAAGTATATTTAGGACATGACTTTATTTATAAATACGATGTTATTGTAAAGAAAATATACAAAAACGTAAAGCGTCATAAGTAACGTAAATCAGTTTCTAGATGACAAGTATATTGGTAATCTTTTCAAGCGTACTTAAGTTATGATGATACTTTACAGTTTTTTTTTTGTATAATTCAACATTTTTATAAAATGTAAAAACTGCTCTTCAATTAGTTAGGTAATACATAAGAGGCTTATGTATTAAAAAAACATTTTGATTTGTTTGAGAGTTTTTGTTAACTGCATGTACAACATTTCCAAAATACTGTTGAAATTTTCACTTTTTATGTCAAAATGTATAAATTTTTAAAAATTTAAAGTTGAAATCTTGAATTTATTCTGTTGATATTGACTTTTAAAATGAGTTAAGTAAAAAAAATTAAAACAGAAGTGCAAACGAGATAACAAAACAGCAAAAAAGAGAAAAAAGCTTAACAAACAACTTAAATTATCATGCACTTGTTATTGCAACTTGCTAATTTTTTCCAAAATTCTATAACATCAAAATTCCAAAAATTTTGATGTTATAATTCTTTTTTCGATAAAGAACTACTTCTGAATAAAAAACTACTGGTCCATTGGAAAAAAATTATGACAACGCATAGTTTATCGCTTTATAAAAGCTGGGTGAACAAAAATAATTTGTTCTGCAATTTGATTCCTAAGAATGTCATTTATTATATTTTGGTGTTTTTTTTGATTAATTACGCGTTTTTTGATTAGTTACGCGTTTTTTGATTATTTTTAAGTTTTTTATATATTATAAGTATTTTTTTTATAGTTTTAAGAATTTTTAAATTTTAGTAGGGTAGATTAGGGTAATATGAGCACCTTAAGCGAAAATTAGAGTATTTTCAAAAATAAATATGCTGGGTCCAAAATTTTTGAGAATAAACAATTTTTACGGATCCCTACTCATGATTCATTTAGATATTTGGGCACCCGACTTTTTTTCTTAAAAACACAGAGGTTTTAAAAAAGTAGCAAAAGTGCTCATATTACCCAGACCCCTTGGTAATATGAACACTTTAAATTAGCTCAAAAAAATAGCATTAATTAAGTAAAAAAAGACGAACCTGACTAATAGAACTAATTTTTGGAATATAAGGATTCGCGATTAACAAAACTTATTATTAAAAGATCAAATTTTAAGCTACATTTTGGTGAAACAATACTACTATGTTTTCCGCAAAAAAAAAAAAAAAAAAAAAAAAAAAAATTAATACGTTATTTTTTCAATTCTAATCACTCAAACCTTTGAACAATCATAAGTCAAATTTTTTAAATTTAAGTTATAGAAAAATATTTTGTATTGTTAAAATATTAAAATTTTTTACTATGTTTTGTTTTTATTTAAGAAACAATTAAAAACCACTGCTATTTTAGGACTTTAAACTAAGTAATTTCAATGAAAAACACTGGGTAATTTGAGCATGCTCATATTACACAAAAATGGCATCTTTAAATTAAGTCAAAAATAAATGTTTCTATGCATTATTTTTCAAACAAAAATGAAATGAATTTTTAGCTAATATATTTTCTTTATGAAAAAATTAATTTCATTGTTTTAGTACCAAAATTTCGCGCCACAGAATTATTCACGCGTGCTGATAATATTTAAACAAAACAAAAAATTTAAAAGCGTTTTAATTAGATGATGTCCGCTAATTACTGCATATAAATTTACGCTAATTTTACTTATTTCTTTTACCACCACATAAAGTAGATTCGAAAAACACAAAGCAACTTTAACTTCACTGCTTATATCTAATAAATCTTTAAGTATGCTCATATTACCAAGGTGCTCATATTACCCTAATGAAAAAAGTTAATTAGGTAATAAAAGTAAATACTTAATTTCAACACAAAAGTTATGTAATAAAGTTTTCCCAAAAAAAAAAAAAAAGTATGCAACTATAATTTAGCTAATAACGTAAAATAAAAAAAATATTACCCTAACAATTATCATCGGATCATTATTATTTTCATTCTCGGACCCTAAATAATCTTCATCGCACATAATTTCTAACTGGCTGTGGTGGCTGTGGTGGGCCAATTAAATTCAAAACTTATAACAGTAATTTACTGGTTTTCTTTGTTGACATTTCTTTTTATAAATTGATGACATGATCTGATGCTACCAATAGCATATTGAGCAAACATATACTTGTAGAGTAATACGAACATTTTTTCTTGTATGATACTAGCGGAATCGACAAAAATCTTTATTACGGGCTTCTTGAGACTCTTCCAATAGCTATCCGATTAGAAGAAGACATGTTTTTATAACTTCCGTGATATACAGTTACAAGCATACCACGGGTATTGATTATGATAAAGAGTTTTGGTTTCAGTACAAAGTTTTTCAAATTCATAATAAATAATATCATAGCCTGAGAAAAGTGTTCTTAATAAAATAATGAAATTTTTATCGAGGTTGATGACTAAACCCGTAATCTCACCACTCTACTCTGGATTCATAAAAAACCTGCGAGCTGTGTTCCGATCATTTTTATTCCCTAACCCAGTGGGCACCAGACCAAAAAAAGGCGTTTTTCGAACGTTCAAAAGACGTCAAAAACGTCCAAAAAACGTTTAAAAGACGTTCAAAACGTGTATACGACGTTTAAAAGACGTCTTTTTTACGTCCGTGCCCACTGGGAAACCAGGTTTTGGTTTGTCTACAATAAAGCTCATATGGTTTTTAAATTTTTGTTTGATATCTTTTGAACATTTTAACACTAGGTTTATCTTAATTGTTTCTAGCTTGCCAATTATTTACATCTAATTGATAGCTAATGTGTAACATGCACTCAAAAAATCCACGTCTGCAAAGTAGACAGACCAAAACCATAATATTCTTTTTTAACAAATAAGTCTTTTAGTTCACCGTTTATTATTTTGGGAGTCGCATCACATATGTAACATTTTTTTGTTGAAAACTTGTGTCAGTCAAGGCAAAGCAAATTGTTCTATCTATCATTGAGAGATTCAGGTCGTGTTTAACAGCAATTTGAGATTCGTCGAGATGTTGAAATAAGTTGAGATACTTTTAGATGTTAAAATAAGTTGAGATACTTTTAAAACTTGATTAGTTTCTATTGTAGTAAATACATTTATTTCTTTTGAAAAAATTAATTGGTCGGCAAAAAAGTGTGAATGAAGGTCGCGGATTTTGCCAAATAATATTTTAGCCGTCACTCGTCTCAACGGAACAAATGAAATCAATTTTAAGGCATTTTTTTAAATCGTTTTTTAGTAGATATTGCTTCTTATTTGAATAAAATATTAAAAGTAATTAAAAAGTACTTTCCGTCTAAAAAAATCAATCACTGAAATAAAATGATTCTTATCTTATAATTTGGTTAAATGGTATTACAAACGCTTAGATTTGTAGCTAATTAATTTGTAATTAATGTAATGTAAATTTGTAACTAATTACAAATTTACAGCGTTTCTAATGAAACTACATTTTAAAGAATTTTTAATTGCTTATTACTAATTTCTCTGGAAAGTTTTTATATTTAACACTGCAAGTTCCCACCCGACATTAAGTCGTCTTAAAGACGTGTTAAAGTTGTCTTGATAAACGTCTTAAAGATGTCTTAAACTTGTCTAAAATGAAACACTGTAAGACGTCTGTTTGAAGATGTCTTAAAGTCGTCTTACATAAAACGTCTTTAAGTTGTCGCATGCAAGACATCTTAAAGTCGTCTAACTTAAGACGTCTTTAAAAGGTTTTAAACTGGTCCAAAATGAAACACTGTAAGACGTGTTTTGAAGACGTCTTGCAGTCGTCTTTAAAACGTTTGAAAAAGTCAAAACATTTTAACTTTTAGTTTATGAACTATCTAAATGCTATAGGAGAAAAAAAGAGACATGATTTACTACCAAAAATATATTTCACGCCATCAACAACAAAAACTAAATTATAATATGTTCAATCAGATTTTCGTGATGCTGGTGCGTTTTTCAACACGCCCTGAATAAACTGATGGACTGTCTTCTCTGATTCCTTTGGATATCTTTCTAGGACAGACCCTAATAAGTGAAAATTAATAAAAATAGGTCTAGAAAATAATTGTTATTTTAGAAAGTAGCATTAGAAGACACTTACTAATCACACATTTATAAAGATTGGTTTCTTTAAAACTTCTCTTTCCGCCTCTCTGCCCATCCATGTTAAAATTTCTCATGAGAAAACAATCCAACATACTAAAAAATCAGGAGGTAAATATACAATTAAAAAACTGATAATTACAAAAGTTCCTAAGGAGAACTTAATTTCTTATTAGCATTATATTAGCCCTGATAGCAGGTCACATGAGAATTCTGATTAGCAATTTAGCTGTAAAAATACAAATAAATGTTTTTAAAGCTGTTTTTTATTCTTAATCAACAAACAAAGCATTTTTATCATCGCATAATCGTTCGAGTACAGTCACCTATGTTGGCACCTCCAATTTTACTCAGCCTTTCAATCTAAAAACAAATTTGATTACAATTTATTTTGTTATAATATCTTGGGTTTTCAGAATTCTTTTAACAGTCCCAAGACATATCAAATGCATATAGTCAAGGCAGAATCCAGAAACACATTTGATACCAGCAGCTATAAGAGGAGACTTATATTTCTGATGTTTCTTATATGACTGGCAGCTAAAATCTTCATCTGTTCGCTTGCGAAATTCTTGCTCTTTATTAAACACAACCCTACCTTCCCAGGATCCTTTAATAATGCACCTTTCACAGGAAAAATATCCAGTATGACCAACAGTCCCTTTTAAAAAAGATCTTGCTGGGACATCACATAGAAAAGCTCTAACTTTAACAGTGTGTACAATTTTATTGTTATACCAGATAATTTTATACAACACAATTGATTTTATTGTTATACCAGATAATTTTATACAACACAATTCTTTTAAAAAATCATCTAAAAACACACCCAAACTTGATGGTTTTTGTTCCCCTGTGTATATTGCCACAATAAAAATCTTTCCACCACCAACTTCACAAAGAATCGGCCAAAATTGAGTATTGGATGATTTAAATAAAGGTAATCCGTCAATATTAAAACTAAGCGATATTTCACTTTCAGAACCTGTTAAATTTTTTTTGATACCAGCTTCTAATCCAAAATAGTAATATGTGCCACCACATTTTTGAACACACTGACTTTTGAACTGAACTTCTTGTGGTACTTTTAAAAGAGTTCTTGCATCTTTGGGTAGCATGTTACCATGTTTTCGAAGTATATCGAGTAAACTATTCATAGCTGCTTGAGAACAATTAAACTCTAGACACCAAGATGCAAGGTCTCCTGAGAGGTTTTCTCTACTGGTGGTTGAATTAAAAGAATTTCTGTCACTAGAACTGTCGGATAAATATTCAGGTGAATCGCTCGACCGTACTTCCATATTTTCTTCCACACGTAAATTACTACAACTTTGACTGCTAGAATGAAAATAAGCTCTAACTTCTTCTTCTTGAGGTGGTGCACAGTTGACGTTACACACATCCACAGTTTCTCGAGTTTCTTCTAAAACTGATTTATTTAATTTTCTCCAGTTCTTTAAATAATCTTTTCTTGATGCAGACATATTCTTAACAATTACTTTGAATGAGTTAAAACGAATTACTACTTTAACGTATTGAACAAATTAGTACTTTAACGTGCTAAACGAATTACTACACTAACGTGAAAAACTTTATTAAAACTTATATTATTTATTTTTTTTATAAAATAATATGTGCGAAAAGAAACTGGTAACTATAGTTACCATTCTTTTCTTTTCTTTTCGATCATTAAAACTTATCTTCCGCATTTAATATTCGTCTTCCGCATATACTCAGAATTCTGTCTCATACCGAGTATATGCGGAAGACGAATATTAAATGCGGAAGATAAGTTTTAATGATCGAAAAGAAAAGAAAAGAATGGTAACTATATAGTTACCAGTTTCTTTTGGCACATTTTATTTTGTAAAAAAAATAAAGTTTTAATAAAGTTTTTTAAAATAAAGTTCTTGAATTAATTCAAAACGTCTTAAACTGGATGTTCAGGAAGACGTCTTGCTAAGATGTCTTTAGGACGTCTTAAACCAGTTGTTCCTATTATAGCCGTTTTAAAGACGTCTTGTTGCAAGACGTCTCTAAGACGTCTGTTAAAGACGTCTTAAAGCCGCCTTATACTGGCTGAAGACGTCTAGACAAGTTTAAGATGAGTAAAAGACGTCTTAAAGACGTCTTATGTTGGGTGGGTTATTTGTCATACGGGACTGTAATTGTGAAAATATTATCAAGTAGTCGATATCTTAAATTGAGTTTTGTCCACCTAGCTTGTATAAAGCAATACACTGTGCAACGTAAAGTGTATAAATTTTGAGAGATCACAAGTTTTGAATTTTACTTTTTCACAAACTTTTTAAGTCTGGGAACAAATAAACTCCAAAGCTTGTGCATATTTAAAGTCTTCAGCTAATATAAACAAAAACATATTTCAATCCCAAAAATTCTGCCGCAATCCCTGATAAAAAAAAGGTTTTCCTTTTAGATTATGCTATGATCTCACTTAAACCTTTATCTTGTACTTCTTTTATGTCAGATACTTTCTACCACTCCTCACTACTAACTAAAGACTCACTGGGAATCTTTTTGTGATTATTTTTGTAATGTTTATTGTGTTCAAGTCTTTTATCGCTCTTATATATATATATATATATATATATATATATATATATATATATATATATATATATATATATATATATATATATATATATATATATATATATATATATATATATATATATATATATATATATATAAATATATATATATATATATCCCAGTAAGCACAGATCGTTTTTAAAACGTTTAAAAAACGTTAATATTCGTTTTTTTAAGTTTTTAAACGTTTTAAAAACGTATATATATATATAATGTATACAGTGCCGGCGAGAAGTATGTGTGTGTTGGTGTGGGACAGTTTGTCCTGGGCGGCAGATAACCTAGGGGCGCCAAATAAAAAGAAGATACCAAAAAAAAAAAAAGTCCTTCATGTATAATATAACGAAAATTTTGATAAATAAGGGCGCCAATCAGTGTTGCTGTCCCAGGCGGTGTGTGTGTATATATATATATCAGAGCCGTGGCTAGGCACCCCCAAACCCCCCAATTGGGGGGGGCCCAGTATTTTTAGGGGCCCTTTTTAAAAGTTAAAATATCTTTTAACTTTAAAAGGGTTTAAGTGAAGTAAAAAGATTTGCATTTTAACCATTATATTAACTAAGTTATGCATGCTAAAAAGTACTAAAAAGCAAAAGTCATTTTTACGCAAAAACAATTTACACTCCGAGTTCTTTTGTTTTGTTAGAAGTTTTTTGAGAAACCACTATAGCGGTTTGTCTGATGTTATTTTAGCGGTTTGTCTGATGTTATTTAGCGGTTTGTTTGATGTTACTAGCGCGCTAATGAGAAACCATTAAACAGCGTTTCGTGGGGAAATATATTTTCAAGTATGTCGCTTATTTTATGATTACAAGCGAATTTATTATTTTTAATTAGGTTATTTATTGATAAACTATAATTTGCTGGAAATTCAACTGTTTACCAATTCACCACGGTAAAGTTTATTTTATTACTATTATTTCTATTACTTATGTTTTATGCCTAGCAAAAAATATAATTATCTTTCATTCTTAGTTTTTTACAATATTTTGGAATTATTGGAATGAAAAAAGTGAAAAGTGGTGCCACTAAAAGAAGAGAAAAAGCTGCAGCCATGGAGAAAATCATGAAATACCCCAAACTAACACATTTTTTAAAACCAGCAGTTCCGGCTAGCAGTGTTTTGATATCAACAAATAATTTTGATTGTGATTATTTGGGTACTAGACTAGAGTCAGATGGGTTAATCTATGACTCAAATGCAAAGTCAAATGTAAGTCATGGTTTAATCTGTGAATCAAATGCCACAACAAATCCACTAATATTTCTCAGTGATGATCCTTCTGATTGGCCTGATAATGTTTCTGACGCTCAGAAGTGTGATGTTGTTAAACGAGGTTTAAAAAAGATTGAAATCGACTTTCCAAAAAATTCAGAAAGAAGACGATTTTCCATGAGTTATTATAACCGCAAAATGAAAAATGGAGAAATCTTTGAAAGATCATGGCTTATATATTCTTTAAATAGTGATAAAGTGTTTTGTTTCTGTTGCAAACTTTTTGGGATAACTTCTTCACCCTTTCGAAAAGGAATAAACACGTGGGAAGGCTTATCAAAAAAACTTAAAGAACACGAAACATGCAGTGCACATTTAAAATGCTTTGAACATTGGATGACATTACGAAAAGGTAACTGATATTTCATTTAACTTGTTTTGTTACTTTTTTTATTGCTAAAATATTAATTTTTTTTCAATTTTGACAATGCAGGCATAGCAAATCAAGCTACCATAGACGAGCAACAACAAAAGTTGCTTCATAAAGAGCGGGTATTTTGGAGATCTGTGTTGGAAAGGATACTGGACATTACGTTATTTCTTTCAGCAAGAAATCTTGCATTCCGTGGATCAGACACGGCAATTGGTTCAAAAAGCAATGGAAATTTTCTTGGGGTGTTTGAATTACTGGCTAAGTACGATGCCGTCTTTAAGGAGCTTCTGTTAAGAATTCAGGACAAAAAAACAAACGCTCACTATTTGAGCAATGACACACAGAACGAGTTGATTAGATGTTTAGCGCAGGAGATTGAATCAGAAAACCTTTCTATGGTAAAAAAAGCAAAATACTATTCGGTTATTTTAGATTGCACGCCAGACGTTTCGCACAAAGAACAAATGAGCATAATTTTAAGATCAGTGACATGTACTTCTAGAGTTGGTATTAACATTTCCGAAAATTTCTTTGGATATCTCACAGTAAATGATACCACTGGAAAAGGGCTTTTGGATGCCTTTTTAAATCAGGCAAAAAAATGGGATCTAAATATTCTAGATTGTCGAGGCCAATCTTATGATAATGGTGCTAACATGAAAGGAAAACTTAAAGGTGTTCAAGCCAGGCTTCTAGAAATGAACCCAAAGGCTATATATGTTCCATGTGCAAATCATTCACTGAATCTTGTTATTGTTGATGGTGCACTGTCATCTATCAGTGCAATATCTTTTTTTGGAGTTCTTACAAGATTGTATACCCTCTTTTCATCGTCTCCTCCTCGATGGGAAATTTTAAAATCGTGTGTGGAAATTTCTGTCAAACCACAATCAGATACAAGATGGGAAAGTAAAATAAACTGTGTTAAACCACTTCGCTATTATCTGAAAGAAATTTTAGAGGCACTCGACAGATTGGAAAAACATGCCTTTGAAAAGAAAGATGGGGCAACAGCCACAGAAGTACGATCTCTGATTGAATATATTAGGACATGGCCTTTCTTATTATCAATCATTATTTGGTATGACGTTTTATTTCAAATCAAAAAATCAAGTAAGCTTCTCCAGTCTTCTACAACCTCTCTTGACATATTGGCTAGTGAAATAAAAGCAACAAATACATTTCTTTATGAGTATCGTGAGACTGGATTTACTGACGCACATATTAAAGCACAAGAAATTGCAGAAGAATTGGGCATTGAAAAGATTTTTCCAACAGTGCGCTTACGAAAAAAAAAAAAAATGTATTCATACGAGTGTGCTGATGAAACTCGGCAACCTGAGCATCAGTATAAAGCAGATTTCTTTTTGCCACTCATTGACATGTCAATTGCATCAGTAAAGGAGCGTTTTGAACAGGTCAGTATCTTCACAAATCTTTTTGACTTTCTTTACCGGTCTGAGAGTCTTATCAAAGCCTGTAATGAAAATTCTCTTACTGTATTTTGCACAAATTTGCAAACGAAGCTCGGGGATATAGATTCTGAGGATTTGGAAATGGAGTTGAAACGATTTGTCATAGTTGTACAAGAGGACAAAAATACAAACCTGAAATCTGCATATGACTTCCTTAACTACGTCTACAAAGAAGAGCTGCAGGAAACTTATCCTAATCTAGTTATTGCGTTACGCATCATTCTTACTTCTCCAGTAACTGTTGCAAGTGCAGAACGTAGCTTTAGCAAGTTAAAATTAATTAAAACATTTCATAGGTCAGTATAAATACTCTTACTTCCTTATACCTAAACACATATAACTATATTTCTTTGTATCTTTATGTAGGTCAACAATGGTCGATGAACGTTTGTCTTCCCTAGCAATGCTGTCAATCGAGAACGAGGTAGCAAGGAAATTAAGTTATGAAGGCTTAATAAATAAGTTTGCAAGTATGAAAACACGACGCAAACCTTTTTTTTGACCTGTGAATGCCTAATACATTCACAGTAGTCAAAGAAACTTTTTGTTTTAAACTCTTAATAAATATAACAATTATAAAATATACTTAATTAAATTAAAGGGTTAATTTTATTGTTTTTTTTCTCGTGAACGACTACTTAAAAATATGTTCGGTGCATTATAAAAGATACGCCTTGCGCTTTTTGAAAAAAAAAAAGTGTCAATTTAAACGCATTTAAAATAACTTTGGGGCCCTAATGGAATGTTTGGGGGGGGGGCCCTAAAGTCACTAGCCACGGCACTGATATATATATATATATATATATATATATATATATATATATATATATATATATATATATATATATATATATATATATATAATCCTTTATATACGCTCATATAAAAAGCACAAAGTTTGACATACGAACAGTTAGTTTCAAAAACTTAAATCTATTTTGATTTATTTAATAGTCTATTTATAATATAAATATAACTTTGATGTGCAAAGCTCCATTGTATTTACACTGCTATTAGAAATTAGGTTTGAATCAGGTCTCTAAATTATATACATTTACACATACAAAAACAACAACAAATTTTATTTTTTATTTTTTACATTTTTACTATTGTACTTCAAGCAATTATAAAGAATAAAAAATGATATCAAAAAATTTGGAAAGAATTTGAAAACTGATATTATGGATTAAGAAATAGTTTTCTAAACATTTATTTTTTATATTATGTACTAAAGAATTCATTCAAGTTTATTCATTACAGATTACATTTTACATATGTTATCATCTTTTATATACTTTATTTTTACAACAGTTATAAAAATAAAATATATAAAAGATGATTGCATATTGCAGTTATTGCAGAAATAACATTAATAAAAAAATAGTATAAAAATAATCACGTGCATTTTTACTCAACTTTTTCACACGTTTTTTTACTCGATCATTTACACATTTTGAAATATAGTAATCGTTAAAAAAACCGCACAATTTTATTACAAGAACCACGGAGATATAAACTCCTAATAACCAAAATCTATAATTAGTATATATAGTATAATAAAATTTTTCGCTAGGTTGATGAAGAAACCCAAGGTTTAAACCAAAGATAATAATATTTTGAATTTTATAAACATGGTTTAATTATGACATTGTTGATATTATAAAGATTTTGTTTTATGTATTACATTAACAGTATTGTTAAATTTTAACTGTTATGTTATTACGTAACAGAAAGATTACGTAAAAGAAAGATATGAATAAGACAAAGTTAAAAAAAGAAAAGCAAAAAGGAAAAGAGTGAAAGCAAATTAGTACAAAAAGCCAACTTGTTAGGGTCAGATTTTTCAGCGCTTTTTAAATTTTTATATATCGGAAGTCACAAGAAGAGAATGATTCTTTAAAGCTGAATCGGAGCGATAATTTAAAATTTTTATCTAAATATTTACCTCAAGCACTAAGAACAAATTTTGCCATTATTATTTTCAAAAAAAAAATAAATTAAATAAATTTCAATAATAATTTTGAAAGGTACAGTTTAGTGTAGCATAGTATAGAAAAGCGAAATAAAATTTCTATGTTAAGTTGCACACGCATAAATTAAAATTTCTTTGTTTATATTAAAATAAGATTTTAATTTAAAAGTTCATGCTGCGCTTTATTTTACGACAGCAACAACAGGCAGAAACAATACTTATGTGTTTGATATACATTTCAATAATGAATTACATAGATTTTGAGAATAAATTATTTCATGAGATTCTTAAAAAGACGGCACAATTGTCGGAGTAATAGATTGTACCTGTGGTCAATATTTTATTTTAATATTATTCATTATTACTTTATTACTACAAATAATCTTAATTTTTACAAATGATAGTATCAAAATATTTTAATAAATAATTACACAGGTATCATTGATACCTGTGTAATTATTTATTAAAATATTTTGTGCTATACTATTTGAAGTTTGACAATAATTAGCCAAAAGTCTTATCCATTTTAAGGGTTAAGTAGGGTTAGATTTTAGTCTAGTTCTAATCTATTCAATTTTAACTTGTTATGTAATTATTTATTAGTCTAGTCCAAAACAACTTTTTAATAATAATAGGATTACGTTGAAAGATTGAAATTTAGTTAAAGCTTTGTGTTTTTACCATCGAAAGTCGTTAAAGTTGTTCAAGTTTAACAACAAAGTTAAAATTAGAAGAAAAATATCCCTTTAATTTTTAATGATATGAAATTGAAAACATTTAAAATTGTTTTTAAGCTAAAAAAAGTGCTAAAATATTTATAATTTAAATTTATTATTGCTAATAATTTATTATGATATATAATAATAATATTATATATATATATATATATATATATATATATATATATATATATATATATATATATATATGTATGTATATATATATATATATATATATATATATATATATATATATATATATATATATATATATATATATATATATATATATATATATATATATATGATGAATTAGATGATATGGCAGTACAATCTTGGAGACCAACTCAGTTTCAAGAAAAGTATGGAGTAGGTAGGTTTTTTTAAAATGCAGAAACTGATATTAAAGCAATGTTTGCTTATCAATTGATAAACTGATGCATATTTGAATTTCAACAACATTATTTTCTATAGTTCAACTATAAAAAATGATGCCTTTTAATTACTACAAGCTGTTTTAACTATTAGTTATATTACAAAATGATTTATTTTTAAAGCTGTTTACAATTATCAATCAGCTATACAGTATGGTTTATCCCTAAGAATTGGCGAAACAGTTCAAATATCTGAAGAAACTAAAGGTTTTTTTTATTTATTATACTTATATAAATATTAAATATGAATATCCTGATAAAGAAATGAATCTTATTCTTTTTACACACTGTAAAATTCACTAGTGTTATAGAGTACTTATGCTTGAGGTGCAAAGTTCAAAGTTAATCCATCTTGGAAATATTGTGCTTGACTTGTTTCTCTATGCAACATTCTTTTTTGTAATTAAGAAATTGTGTCTCTGTTTATACACAAAATTTCATTGTACTAATTGGTATACAGCTAATAAATATGTTGTTATGTGGAAATTAGGGTTAGGATCAAATATAGGCTAATTTGGCAATATCAATCTAGTCTTGAAAAAATCTTTATATGTTTTTTTTTAAACCAAAGTACAAATAGTTGTATTTGTATTTGGAAAATGCTGATTACATATAGCTATATATGGAAATCTAGAGTTAATAAATTTGTATTTGATTAAACGTGTTTGATTCCAACCCTGGTGGAAATATATACATCTCTTTTGAAATCTATAAAAAAGACAATTTTTGAATTCACGTTTTTTTAGTGCCTAACTTTATTTACTTTATTTTGAAATTATTATAAGATTATTTAATCCCTATTTTCAAAAACTCAAATTGTTATCAAAATCGATTTTGTTTCGTATTATGATTTTTTTAATCATTAGAATGGTATAAAGGATGGTTGATGAAGGACCCTTCTAGAAAGGTATGAGTAGTAACATGTTAGTCAAATATTTTAAGAATTTATATAAATTTTCCATTTTCAAATATAAAATATTTTATTTTTAAAACTGTATAGATGTTTTTTTTATTAGTTTTATATTTTTCGAATTGTTTGAAGTAATAGTTTTGATTTCAAAACTATTACTTTAAACTTTTTGATTTTTTGAGCTTTTTAATTATTTTTTTCATTTACTTTAAGGTATAAAACATTTTTGTAATTGTACATTTTTTATTTGAAGAAAGACTGTTTTATGTTTTTTATCTAAGATTTTTTATCAGTTGTTTTAAATTTTAAATAATGATAAGCTACAACCATTAAGTTTACTTCTCCGTCTACTTTTGTTTCTATAAGTTTCAATGAGGTCTTGACAAGAATTAGAAGCGCATTCTGCACTGTAATGTACAACAAAAAGACCAGTGATAAATTTTTTAAAAATCTTTAATAATCTGGAAATAAGTATATAATATATAATGATATATACACATAGCACATAGTCGCAATAAATTCCAGTTTGATGAACTGGTTTTCAGTCATTCTGTCTAAAAAAATGTAATTTTTAACAAATCAAAGAAAAATCAGTTTTCATGTCAAGAAAATCTTTAATTGTTATATAGAGACTTTTATATAGACACAGACTTTTTTGTTTGAGCTAATTCAAGAGCGAATTTATGAAATTACTTTACAGATTATGTAAATTACAATATACTTTTTAAACTTTCAAAAAGGCTGGAGATACTGTTTATGTTATTATGTCCATTATCACAAGTATCTGAATATTTTATTGTCTCCTCAAATTTTTTACTAACTAACCTTTGTTTGTTTCCTAATGGGTTTTGTGTTTGTTTAAATTCTTTCTATTCCTTTTTAAGTCAATATTTTTGTCTCTAAATGGCATATCAAAAGTAAAAGAATTCATTAAAGATATTGTAACAAAAAACATTTATATAATGATATTTTTATCATAAAAACATTACTATATTTTTAAGTCAATTTAAATTTGGACCGAATTGTAAATTTGTAAGCATTTTACTACAATATAGTAAACATCTGATATGTTAGTCAGTATTTTCTTCAAAAAAATTTCACAAAACTCTTTTTTCACTCCTCCTTCTCTCCTCCCCCTCCTCCAACTCTCAACAACCCATTGAAACGTTTAAAAACAAAAGAAGGTGGAGAAGCAAACTTAATGGTTGTAGCTTATCATTGTTTAAAATTTAAAACAACTAATAAAAAATCTTGGATAAAAACCATAAAATAGTCTTTATTTAAATAAAAAATGTACAATTACAAAAATGTCTTATACTTAAAATACATGAAAAAAAAAAAGAAATAAAAAATTCTGCCCCCCCCCTCCTCTCCATCTCTCAAAATACACATGAGTGGAAATGGTTAAAATCAACTCTTCTGGTCATTTTTACCGAAAAACAAAACATAATTTAAAAGTAGATAAATCAAGCTACAATAAAACTAACTCTCGGAATTAGGAAAAAAAAAAAAAAATGTATATATATATATATATATATATATATATATATATATATATATATATATATATATATATATATATATATATACGGAATTAGGAAAAATGAGGCCGGGAATATTTTGCCAAACTCAATCTTTTTGAGCTCGGCATCAGGTCGGCAAAAACGATTTGATACAAAGGTCTAACCATAAAACATAGAAATAAGGTTGGCAATTTTTTGCCAACCTCAAACACTTTCAGGTCGGCAGTTAGGTCGGCATTGCCAACCCTAATTCCGAAGATTGATATATATATTTTTATAATAAAGTTTTTTAACCTTTCTTGAAATATTTTGATGTGTTTATAAGATAATATCAGAGCAGTTGAATATTTGGGAAACTAATCTTTTTGTTTTTTTTTTCGACTTGGTGGCCACACAGAATTAAATAATTTGTGTACACTTAAAAATTAAAAAATAGATAAGTAAAAAGTAAAAAAGCAGGAAGAATAACATATTTATAAATAACTGTTAATTAATCTCAAGATTATAATAAATTTAAATAAAAATCTCAAGAGAATTTAACTTTAATTTTTAACTTAATTTTTTGCGTTTCTTCATGATTTAAAAAAAAAAGACAAAAACACATTTTTATTGAAGATTATTAAAACTAAGTCTCTCCATAGAAATGCTATGAAATTTGTTTTATAAGAATTAGTTAATTTGATAATTAAATTTTAACTTAGACTTAGTAAATTAGAAAATAAGACAAGTATTTTATAATTTACAATAGCATATAAATATTGCTCAAACTACAGAATCAGATACAGAATATTACTGGTACTGAAATATTATTTTAATTGGTGATGCATATTGGACAAAACAAAGTTATTCGACAAATTTTAATTTATTTTTTCTAGCTAACTGAACTATCATGTGGTTTGATGCAAAAACATAAAAAAATATGTAAAATAAAAACAGCAGTTGCAAAATATCAGAGTATTAACAGTGCCATGTTGCATATGGATGGTGTTCCTGTTAATGCTTTTGATGTGCATTGTCCAGGCCACATAATGAGCCCTATGTTACGACTTAGAGTTAATTAACAGGAGTGAGATAATTGCATAGCTCATTGCTTAGAAGGTTGTGCTCTATCTATGAATGAGTCAAGTTCTCTTTAAACTTTAATCATGTCAAAAGTAACCCAAAATAATAAACATAAAAAACCATCCCCACCACCTAACTTTTTAATATATCTTTTACAAATATTCATGGTCTGCGAAGCAACAGTTCTGAAGCATCAGTTGAATCTTACCTCTTGCAAATTTCTCGGACATGCTTGCTATTAGTTAGAATAATTAAAATTATGCTATTCCTTCCTCAGATCTCAGTGTTGATGAGTACTATCCTTTAATTCGCAAAAACTCCAATAATCACATGCTTGACTTGGGGTTATACATACAACCTATTTGTTGTGAAATCAGGTTTGAATCCTTTGTTCACTTATTTATGTACTTCCGTTTAACACCTCTTCACTTATGAAGAGGTGCTAAGTCACAGCTAAGGTGCTCAAATCACTTTTCTCTTTGTTTCTTTTTTATCGTTCTTTTAATGACTTTATTGCTCATCACACTGAATGGCTTGGCTCTAACGCCAATGATCCTGCTGACAATAAAGCCTATTATTTCTCCATCTTTTCTTAGCTGATGCATCTCCTATGTAACCTTCTTTATAACCTTCATATGGTGTATCTGGGAAATTTTTTTGATTTTTTATCAAACTATTTCTAACTGCTCTTTGTTAAAGTCATCTTCGAAGGCTGACATTCTTCTTCATTTCCAGTTATTTCTGGGATACCCTAAGGTTCCTTGATCCTATTTTGTTTCTTATCGACAATAATGATTTCCCGAAAACCTTACATCTAAAGTAGCTCTTTTTGCTGATGACTCAATTTTATATTCCCGTCTTGACAAAAAATATTTTCTTTTCGATTGTTTTAAACAGATCTGCAAATAACTATCACAATACTGTTGGCATTTCTGTATTTATAAATGGCAACTAATTCACTGAGTCTTCTTCTTTATGTCTACTTTGATTATCATTTACTACTGACCTTTCATTGAAACCATATATACAATAGATTGCTAAATTAGCATCTTCTAAGTTTGCTTTCATTATTGTGCTCGCCATTTTCTTACTCCTGATTCCATTCTCTACCTCTACAAATCTCTTAGTCCCTGTATGGAATACTGTTGTCATATTTGGGCTGGTTCTTCTAATGATGCTCTAAAAATCTTTTATTCATCTAGTTTTTTTCCATGCACTTCAAACATTTGTAACTCTCTCCCATCTTCATGTTTTACTGACTCATCCAACCTACAACTTTTCAAGTCTTCTGTCCATCATTTCCTCGCTCTATAACTATTTTTTTTTCCTAATAACTCCCGACTTAATAGTGGTTGCTTTGCAGTCTTGTTGAGAGTGAATCAGAATTTTTTAAATAAAAGTGCTCTGGTTGACTGACATTGATTAAAAAAAATAAATTCTTGGTAAAGCAACTTGTTAACAATTGGTAAGGGTATGGTAAAATTGGGAAATTTTTAAAATTTACTCTAAATCAAAAGAAAATTGGTTGTCAAATAAAACAAATTATTCAATACAGAATATGTGGAAAGGCTTCCCAATATACTATTAAACAACAAAGAAAAGTAAAAAATAAAAAATAGTGGAAAGTTAGTTAACTTTCCGCTTTTTTATTTTTTACTTTTCTTTGTCAGCTTTATAATAAAAATTAAAAGTGATTTAATATTATAGTGTTGGTTAACAAATTTTTATCATCAATTGGGTAATTAATGATTAAAAATACATGAATATTTCATTGATGATGAAATAATAATGTGAATGATTTGGATTGTGGTCGAAATCATTGTTTTTTACTTCCAAAGCTGTAAACAACATATCAATTCACATTTATGACTGTTTAAAAAATGACTTCAATTTATTCACAAGTACTGTGGTGACTTTTAGTTTTTTTTTATTGGCCTGATTCAGCAAGTTCTCATTGCTCCAAGATACCCTAAATTGAAAATAAGATTGTTTGGATTGCTTATCAACATAAGTGATGTTGATAAGCAATCCAGTGTATCAAGTGTGCCAATTATACCAGTGTGTCTTAAGAAAGTTTAACTGAGAACTTTCTGGGACATTTGGCTCAAAAAGTTTATTTGGTAGTTTTGCCACATTTTTCAACATTAAAAATCTTGATTGGTTGCACCTTTTACAACTTTCTTAAACAAATGTTTATGTAAGGTGTAAAAGCTAATTTAAGATCTTATTCAGATTATGAAGATTTTTTCATATAATAAATGACTGATTTTTATTTAAAAATAAATATTTTATCTTAAAATAAATATTTTATTTAAAAATAAATATCTAAAAGTTATGTTTTTTTTTTTTTTATAAAAAAGTTTTTATTTTGTCTGGTAACTTTAGTATTTTTATATATTATTTATGTGTTATTTTGTTATTTTATAAGTAACTTGTATTTGTTTTATTTTATTTATTTTATTAAGTAATTTTATCATGTATTACTTAATTTTTGTTTTGTTTATTGTATGGTAATTTTTTACATTATTAAGGGAATCTTTCCAAAAAACTGTATTGCATTAAAGGAATCAATTCTGAGTAATCCTGGGTAGGACAACATTTATTTTTTAATTGCTCTTCATTTCTATATTGTGGATGTAAGTTTGTCAAGAAGCATCACTGGTTTTGATATATTGAAATAGCCATCTCTGGAGACTTCAATACATATATTGACTAAGGGTTTGAATTTAGGCCTTCGGATTTGCCTTAGATAGTGTCTGCCTAATCCCTCAGTTGATAATGTATGCCCCTTTATATTGGTTATTTCAAAATGACATCAGTGATGTTTTATGTGTTTATATATATATATATATATATATATATATATATATATATATATATATATATATATATATATATATATATATATATATATATATATATATATCAGGGATTATCTTCTTCCGGATATTTCCGGAATTCCGGATATTTTTTTCAACTATTAGTTTTTCCGGATATTCAAAACATTTTAAATACATGCAAGTTGAGGTATACATTTTTGTAATATATTTGTTTTTTAAGCTTTTTCACTCATCAATCATAGAAAATATTAAGGAAATTTGTCAAAAAAAACTAAACCAATTTAGCTAAAAGTGAAATTAAAAATAAAATAAAGGAAAACAAATTCCGGATTTTTTGCAGATAATTTATTCAAACAATTTTCCAGATTTTTAAAATATGACGAGGATGATATATATATATATATATATATATATATATATATATATATATATATATATATATATATATATATATATATATATATATATATATATATATATATATATATATATATATATGTATATATATATATATATATATATATATATATATATATATATATATATATATATATATATGTATATATATATATATATGCACATAAAAACGATATATATACATATATATGTATATATATATATAAAAATATATTTTGTTTTTATGTGCATATATATATATATATATATATATTGTTTTTATGTGCATATATAAATATATATATCTTATACTGCTGAGTTAGGTGAGCATGATGATGTCATACTCACCTAACGTCAAATAGCCTGCTGCCAGGGGCTTCAGTACATACATCGACTAACAAATAGCCTGACTCGCAGTGGAGTGCTGCTACATCGACTAAGGGTTTGGTATGGGTCAGCAACCTTTTCATTCATTATTCTTTGTTTTCCCTCATCGTTTTCTAAAAACGCTCACTTAATTTAGGCTAGCAAAAAAAGTGAGCAATTGCGCATATAAATATGCTATAGTAGATAATATATATATATATATATATATATATATATATATATATATATATATATATATATATATATATATATATATATATATATATATATATATATATATATATATATATATATATATATATATATATATATATATATATATATATATATATATATATATATATATATATATATATATATGTATATATATATATTTATATGTACATATATACATATATATATATGTATATATATATATATATATATATATATATATATATATATATATATATCAGTTTTAAGTCGGCAAAATATTGCTGACCTAAAACTGTTTAAGGTTTTATTTTTGGTATCAGGTCAGCAGATAATAAAATTTTTAAACAGAGTTTGACATATCAAAAAATGTGTGAACAAATTTAGCACAAAATTGAAAGAAAAACTAGCTGTGTTTGCCGAATTTTTTTTTAAACGTCAACTTATCTTTAAAAATTTAAAAAACAAACAAATTTTTTGCAGATTTTTTTTTTATTTTTTTATTTAAAATTTGTTTTTCTGTTTTTAATGGCTTTTTTTGTTTACTATTTAAATACAAGATTTGTATTTCGAATTTAAAAAGAACGTTTGTTTTGCCATTTTATTTAAATTATTTACTTTGGAACTATAAAAAAAAATTTTTTTTTTACATTTTTTTTTTAATTGTATTTAATTAAATTGAATTTCATTTGTTTTTGTTTTATTTATTTTATTAAAAATCTAAATAAAATGTTCACTTTGCCATTTTTATTTTAACTATTTTATTTTTATTTTATTTGAAAATTACGTTTTGTCATTTTTAAAATTAATTTTATTCAGAATTTAAATAAAACATTTGTTTTTTTGTTTTTATTTTGATTATTTTATTCAGAATTTAAATAAAACATCAGTTTTACCATTTTTGAAAAAATTACTTTATTTAGAATTTAGATATAGTATTTATTTTGTATATAATGTATTACGGTTGTGACTAAAGTTTTTTTACAAAATTTTCTCCTGTCGTTGCAAATGAAAGAATTTTTGTGACATTGATTATTTAAAAATTATTATAAGAGCTGGTTCTAAAAAAAGTGCAACACCAAGCAGTTCTCCTCTCCAGTTGAAGCAAACACCTTTCTGGTTGTTAAAGGGATCCCCAACTGCCAAAACAAGTTGTGTTCATATCAAAGAAAACGTTTAACAAAAACATTTTGGCTAAATTTTTTTTATAACAACTAAATAATGAATCCACACTATTAGTTTTAAAATTCACGTTTTAGTCGAAGCTCGTCATCTCCATTTTTTTGGTTCTTGGAGTCTGTATAATGTTAGCTGTAATCTGCAGACTTGATAATTTATTCCATGCATTTTTAATTCATGACAGTTTCAGTAAATGATGTCATTGTATAATTTTTTCTTTTTTAAGATATCATATTATTTTTTTGCCACAATCACCAAATCATGTTAATTGTATAAATTTTTTACAAAATCCTAAAGCAAAAGTTTGTGTTACAATTAAAAATTAAATTTATAAAATTTATAAAAATAAAAATTTAATATATAATGAATACTTGCAGTAAAACGTACTGGTTTAAACTAAATATAAACTAGATACTAAAAGAATAATTTTAATAAAGCTTATAAATTAATTTAAACTGAAAATTGCATTAACTCCTTTGCTACCAGCCAAACAAAAATCTTTTTGTAGCAACCACAGATTTTTTTGAATAAAATTTAAATGCAGTGACAATTAATTAAAATTCAAATAGTAAATTTTTTTAAGAGCATAACAAACTATATTTCAGTTGAAAGCTAAACAAATTGTCGCGTTGGTTTGACAAGGATCTAACTGATTTTGTTTTATATTAGGAGAATAGCAAATAATCTTTTTTTTTTATTGTTTAAATAAAAATATTTATATGATTATTTTTATTTATTTATATATTTTTATACATCAATCAAAAAAAGAATACATAAACAAATAAAAAAACAATATTATAAATAACTTTAATTAAACATTATAAAAAATTAAAAGATTTTTTTTTAATTCTCCTAATATAAAAAATTTCAGTTAGAACCTTGTCAAACCAACACGACTTTATAATTAAATAAGTTTTTAACACGTGTCATTAAACAATTAGAAATGCAAAGTGCTTAAAACCATTATTTTTATAAATAGTAACTAAAACATTAAGTCCGAAACAAAACTCATTTAATGAATAAAAATATTTTTTCTTCAAAAGACTTTAGTAATTACTTAACTAAATAAGTAACAATTTATTTACTTTTTAGTAATTTTGCAGCTTTAATGCTGTTTTATTTTACAACTAAATTTTGAGAAGTTTTTTTTATGAAGGATTATTCAAGATTTTTTAACTTTGTTAAGTGATAACTTTTTTATAATAACGCAATATAGCTCTTAATTTTTCTTGATTATGTAGAGAATTAATTAAACCTTTAGAACAAACAAATTATGTCTAAAATGGAAATTTATGTGCAAAACAAGATAAATTGTGAAGCATACTCAAAAGCTGCTACCAGTGGCTTGCGGTAGTGAAAGAGTTAAACCATAACTAAATGTAAATTAAACATAAAACGAACAACTCTATTAAAACATTTGAACTAAATATAAAACAAGAAACCACATCATACTGCCTTTATTTTTTCTCTGCCTGCGAACTCTAATAATTACAAAATATGTATAATTGTGTCATGATTTTGGTTGGCTTCTAAAACAAAGTAATAACAAAGCAAGTGAAAAATAAAAAGTTTAAATATGAATATATATATATATATATATATATATATATATATATATATATATATATATATATATATATATATATATTTGAATAATTTTTTACTAAATCTAAATATTTGATTTCCTGATTATAGTAGAAAAAATACTTATATCTTTAAAAAAAACAACAACAAAAAAACGATCTTAAAAAGATATTGTGATGATGTCATATCGAAACTATTATGAATTAAACACGCGTGGAATAAATTATCAAGTCTGCAGATTGCGGCTAACATTATACAGACTTTGAGAACCAAAAAAAATGAAGACGACAAGCTTTGACTAAAACATGAATTTTAAAATTATTGGTGTGCATTTATTATTTTGTTTTAATCAAAAAAATTCAGCCCAAACATTTTTTTTTAAAAATTGTCTTTATTATGAACACAACTTGTATCAGCAGTTAGGGATCCCTTTAAAAAAGAGTGAAAACATTTCACATGATAAAAAATGCTTTGAAATACCAGAATGGCAAATTTTGGTTAACATTCTGATATTTTACGAGTTAAAAAATATGTGTTCCAGTATGGATAGTATATTAGGGCACTTTATAAAGTTATTATATACGTACTTACTAAGGTCTTTGAGTGCAAATGATTCCTGAATTTTTAAGAGTTTATTCTCCGCAAAGTCTTACATTTACATTTTTTTTTTTGCATTTTTTGCAGTTTTTACAACGGTAAAAAGTGTTAACAAAATATGGCAAAAATTTTTTTTTAAAAGAAAAGTTCAATAAAAAATGAATAAAATAGAAAAGTGAATAAATTAGTTTTAAAAACATATTAATACAGCAAGAAAATATAAGAAGATAACAATATAAGAAAAATATGAAAAATATCAGAAACTAAAAAAAAATGCTTTTAAAAATGTACACACAATTCTAATTTCAAACTATAGAAACGCTTTAATGAAAAGTTTAAAAAAGTTTATATTTTTAAAGTTTGAATGAATATAAAAGATTATAAAAAGAATATATTTTATGATTATAAGGTG